AAGGCGGGACAGCAGGCATTATACGCAAGTTGTGCATATATCGCACTTCACAATCCGTCATCAGGTGGGTTGAGGCGATTCATGGCCCTAAAACGTGCCTTTCTTAGGCAGCACGATTGTAACTCTCGTCTGACTTCGTGCGAACACACCGAAGCATCTATTTGAGACCAATTTCTTCCTATTAGTGCTTGTGAAGACTTGCTATTCGTTTCTCATCTAATTGTAATGACGCAATGTGAAACGAATTTCTTGCTTGAGGGAATTAACGGAATAGAAATTTTTTTTGGATTTTAACTCGGCATCTCAGGAGGTCGAACCAATCTTTGCTCCTTTTGACACTGCTATCTCCCAATTAACTACCCCCAAGTACATACATCACAATTAACCACACCGAAATACCAGCTTTCATTGTTAGTTTTTAGGCTGGTTTCACGGAAGCACGGTGAAGAGGAACTCCCTCATCCAGGTAATAAGCAGTTAATAAGATAAGTTTTACGCTACATTGGAGTTTGGCCAGGCACTTCTTATGTACAAAGCCGAGCGACTTACCTCTGAGACTGCTCCACTAAAATTGACAGCTCACATGAAACTGAAACTGAGCTTGTTCAGAATTCGAAACGGTATTTATTATAAATGAAACAACAATATTTTCACCGCCCTTATGTCGATTTTACCAAAACCTATATTCCCTTATTACATACCTAGAAGATGTCGCACATTTCAGCGGCTTACTACATCACAACTCACAAGTCGCCCTTCATCCATCTTTTTAATATTCCTTTGACTTTGTTGCACATTTACGCTTCGTCTTTTACAGTATTGATTCATCATTTTTCCGTACTCTATTTTCTGACTGCCCGCTGTATCACTATTGGTAGAATATCCCTGGTAATAGGATCTGTACCGCAGAATTTACAGCTTATTTATTAGTCACATATTTCAGCCGCTTATTAAGAGCTTTGACGCTTCGCCATAAATGCAGAATAGACTTTGGGCGTGAGTATGATGCGCTGTTATGACTGAAAACAGCTCAGACAAATGAGACAAGCAAATAAGCAAAACGACATACCTGAAATGGGGACCATGACCTTTTTTCTTGCCCTTTAAGAAGAAAGCAAGCTTCTCAATGCTTAAGTCAAAGCCGGCAATGTCTTTCCTAACGCAATCGGTGAGCTTCTTCTTGCTTTCAGAAAACACGTTGTCCAGACATTGAAGTGCTTGATCTTGTTTGCTTTTATCCGAAAGGTCGAGGATTATGTCGAGCGGTGGCTTCATCGGAACTTTGCACCCGTTGCTAAAATATCAATTATTATATTCAGCGAGCGCATGAGTACTTTATTTCCCTCGCTGTCCAACTCAACTCAAGGATGAGAAAGTGGGAGGGTTTAAAGTTTAAAATCGTTGCGAGGTATTCCGGTAAAATTTTGCCATCTGTTCCTCATGGTATTGCTGTTCTCGTGCGCTATACGGTCTTTTTCGGCGCTCGGGTTAGGAGGGGCCACGCATACTGGTTAAAAATTGAGAAAGATTGACCATTAGACTCTAACGTGGCCCTTCTGGTAGCCGGCATCGTAGTAGCCCGATGGCTGCTGTCGAATATCAGTTAGCAGCGGAGCGGATATCAGTTTTGAAAGGAAGAAGCAGACAACTGTTTGTAGTTTAAGTACTTTAAATTCGACGGTATTGATACCGAGGATTATCAGATTTTGAAAATTACATTTACTTACTCAGAGGAAAATATTAAGAGC